GGCAGCACCGATTAGACACAGCCCCAGATTACTTTCTACAGCCCTGTGACCTCTTCAATTGGCTGCAGGAAACAAACAGAGCAGAAAATGTCTGCACATCTATTGAAAAGATTGAACTTACCAAAGAAGAAAAATAGAGAAAATACATAGCTAAAATATAATGAATCACATACATGGCCCCTGACAGACTTGAGCCCAATACTGTCAAAACTACATTGACTCATTGACAAGGATGGTGCATGTATAGCTCAGCCTTCATGGAATGAAAATGAATTTTAAATCACAAAGCAGCATTGATGTGTATATGATAACCCCACGTTGTCCACAATGTGACTTTGGCAGCTCCATTAAACACACACGTCAGCAAATGTGAAGATTGTCCTGTTTGTTTGATCTGCAGGCCTCTGACCATGTGAAGTTTGCCTCAAAAAAAAGTCAACCCCAGAGGCTGTTGTAAACGATTATATTGTTGAATACCCCTTGTTAGAAAGAGCTAGAGTAGATTATCCAGGCTTTTATTTGTTCAGAAAATGTTGTGAAAGAAATCAATCATTCTTTGATTTCCAAGGTATCTAAAATTAAAGTCAAACCAGTTCAAAAACAGTGCCTCAGTGACTCAACAAAGTGCTCAGACGTAAAATATAATGCAGAAAATATTTTGGTGATTTGATGGAAAAGGAATGTACTTTTAAAACTGAAAGCAAAACCTAGCATTTAATGAGTTAACAAGTTGCTACGCACCTGCCACTACTATAACAAAAATGTTAGCAATTCAACACGAGCGTTTTCCAATTAGAACTGGCTTTTCAACAAATCATGTATGATTTATCCAGATACAGAGGTTGAGTAACATGCTGAGCATAGAGCTCAAGACAAACTAATTAAAAACTTAAACATTCTTTGGGAAGAAATGGTGGTGGGGAGTGGAGAGGGAACATAACAGATCCACCTAATCTCAAACAGTAAACAGTTATTTGCATGATAAAGCATTAAAACACTAAGACAGATGCTGCCATGTTGGGCATCACTGATAATGTTGCAGTCAGTTACAATGTTGGGAAACTCAAATTTCATGTATCAAAGACCTGCATGCCCACAGTCTTTTGGTTGTGACAAATGAGATTTTAGTGCAATGAAGGATCCCAACCTGAAACGTCAGCTTTCCGGCTCCTCTGATGCTGCCTGACCTGCTGTGTTCCTCCAGCTCCACGTGGTGTTATCTCCTTAGTGCAATGATATTTGTGCCTGTGCTGTCAGCTCACACACATTTTGAAGAAGGATCATATTGGGCTCCAAATGTTTACTCAGGACTTTCACTGATATGAGTCAGCCAAACACCCAGACAGCCTACCTATGACATCTATCTCCAGATGGCAAAATCAACTACACCTCCAACAGATCACACTTCACTTTGGGGGAGAGCACTTTCTCTCAGACACAGGAAGTAAATCCTCTGCTGGGTGGTTTACACTCCAAGGTTACCTCCAACAGTGCTCTTGAGGATTCTATATGCTTTTAGATCTATACGCATGTAGAAACAAATGGACTTATTAGTGATAGACAGCATGGTTTTGTGCAGGGAAGGTTGTGCCTCACTGACTTGATTGAGTTTTTTGAGTGCAAACACAGCAGCCAATTTGTGGACAGCATGGTCTCACAGACAGCAAATTAAATGAATAAGCAGATAATTAAGGCTTGAGGGTAATTGTTGGTCAGGACTCCAGGAGAAAAAGAGCTATTCATTGCACAGTGCAAGGGAATAACGGTGTCAGGAGTACTGCATTATTGGAGGTGCTGGCTTTCAGATGAGATGTTAACCTAAGGACCCCATGAGCCTGCTTGGGTGGATGTAAACATGATTCCATGGTGATATCCGGAATAGCAGGGTGTTATCCCTCAGGTATCAGTCAATCGAGCTCCTCAATCAATATCACCACAACAGATTATCTGGTCATTATCACGTTGCTTTTTGTGGGAGTTTGCTGAGTGCAAATTATCTACCATGTTTCCTACATTTTATCTAAATGTAAGTCTTTTGTTTCTTCTACAAGCATCAGATTAATGTCACAACTCAAAGTGGTACTTAAAAAAGATGGCATTACCTTTCCTAAGTATCACTAGTAAGTCTGATACAAATGACAGTGAATAATTACAGGAGTGAATATATGTGTGCATGTGTGTGTCGGTCTCAAATTCCTACCGTGTGATGAGCTGGTTGTTTCCAGCCTAAGTAGTGGTTGGGGTCTCACGTACAGCTTCAATGTTCTCGAGTTAAGAATCGGCAGTGAGAAGGAATCCACAGTGTGGTCCCACAATCCTTGCTAATACATGCGCGTGAATGATAGGCAAGGGCAATATTGGCTTTTGTGTAATACTTTCCAAGGTAACTTGCTTATTTGTCAGGATAATAACCTGCTGCTCTCCAGGTGAGTTTGCCAAAACTATGCCCAATAACCATCCTACTCTCCAGTGGGTCCTGCCCACTAACAACAGACACTGATACTGCCAACTCCTTGACATCCCTCTGACCCTGGCATCCCTTTGATGTCATCCTTCACTGCATCACATCCAACATCCTTTACCCCTGCCAAACGCCCATCTGTCACTCCACTCTGACAGCCCAAAAATACCCCGTTAGCCCACCGTCACACCCCCAAAAAACTATCCTGCCACTTTCCTTCACAGCTAGAGATATGACCTCCATTGTGACAAACCCCTTGTCATGACCAAACCCCCTTGCCCCGCTCCCCTCCAACACAGCAATAAACATTCCTGCTTCAACTTAACTATACATTCATCCCCTTGATAGCCCATCCCCTCTCAACTGGCAATCTGTCAGTCCAGTGCAACAATCCCCACTCTTTCTCGAGCAACACATCAGTCACTACTTTCACCTTCGACAATCTACCCAACACTGTCCATTCTAGCAGCCCACTTGGTGCTCTCCTACTCGCACACTTTGACAGCTCATCTAATGCTCCCTCCCAATCCAGCTCGTTCTGCCATTACTCCCCCCTGCATCATGTCAGGTCATTTATTACCAACAACATTTCCTGGTCAGCCTCTGGTTCGCGACTTTTTACAGCCCTGTAACATTCCCCAGACCAGCCAATGAATCTGCCCAAACCAGCTGGTCATTTCTCCTTGCCTCTAGATACTCATGCAGAATGGTCAACTGTTTCGAAACTACAAGTTCCTGTTAGCAGTAGCCCAACATGAAGCAACTCCATCACCAAAGCTGTAAAGGAGATCATTTCCTCATTGAGCACTACACTGCACTGAGTATATTTCACTGAAAGAGCAGCACAGCGTCTCCAAGTTTGTACTAAACAGCTTTCAAACATTGTTTTACTAGCTTGTTACCCTGAGGCTACAGTTTACATGTCACTCCATCGACAGGAACCAATTAGCGGACTATAAACTGTGGGCTTGTCACACCGCCATGGGGGTTCTCCTACATAGGTCATCTGAAATGTGTTATACAAGGACAAATAAATTGTAGCACTGCAAGCAACATCACTTGACGTTAACGACTCTATAAAATTTCTTCATCTCCAAGACTATGTGCGCATGATGAAGACGGAAGAAGTAGCACTAACCATGTTTCTGGCCTTCTATCAGTTTACACTGCAAATAACGATCTCAAGGAATTAATTATTTTATCCTTGTTTTTGAATCCTTCCATAGCCTTGTCCCTCCTGTAATCTCTCCAGCATCTAATTCTAACCAGTTGTACATCTCGAATTCCTCTACCCACTATTGTCAGCCATGCCTTCAGAAGTCTAGGTTCTAAGTGCTGGAATTCCATCCCAAAACTTCGCTGTCCACACTTCCCTTTCCTCCTTTGTAACTCCAAAATCTACTTTGACCCAGCATTTGGCCTGCATCATTATCTCCTTATGTGACTTGGTGTCACATTTTGCCTGAATGGGGTCCTATGACCCATCTTGGGTTGTCTTACTACATTCAATGTGCTACATAAACTGAAGTTCTTCGTACATTTTTTAAATGACCTATTATGTTTTGGGGAGAGGAAAGTGATTTTGTAACATGACCTTCACAATAGTTATTTGCTTAACTTATAACATTATTGCTGTTGACTTCAGATGAACTCTAAAATCAGGAGGTGCTTGTGTGGTACAGATTTTACAATAAACTAATCCATAACATTTTCATCCGAGTTAAATGATCTGATATCAGCTGGGACTTCAGTCACACTATTCCTGGCTTTTGAAGGCAGTGGGGGCTCCTTCACTGCTCTCCAATGACTTGCACTAGAAAGCATGTGTGAACTCTGATTGAGGACAAAATCAGTTTGGACTATAAAAGTCTTCTATGAGTAAATAGTCCATCAACACTGTCTAGTTCAACAAGTGAATGAATGACTGGATGAGTGAGAGACTGCAGCCATGCTACAACATCTCTGTTGGAATCAGAAAATCTGAGGTATGGGAGAAAAAAAATTAACAAAATATAACACTACATTTTCAGCTGTTTCATATGATGAGGATTTGTTTAACAGGGTAAAGATCTTTGCAGATACTTTGCAACCTTGCATTTTTGCAAACAAACAGAGAGCAACTCAAAATCAAGGGCGCCACTGAAGAGCGGGCTTTCAACTATTGAATTTACAAACATATGACAAGTTTAATTTTAATTCATTAGTAATGCACATGGTGTGAAAATTCAAAGACTTACTTTGGTACCAACTTGATCTGAACACTAAAATATAAATTTTGGTGTGGTAAACTTCCAAATTGAAACAATAATCCTTTACATTGATCATTCCCATTTCATTTCGAGTCTATTGCATTTTCACTACTTTTAAATTTCATTTTCACTGGATGCTTCAGCTTACACCAACAGCTGTATTTCAGATGCTGGGGAAAGACAGCAAGGATGTAACAGAAAGCAAAGAGTGGATAAATGACCTCTTTCCACTAGTATTATTTCACTCACATTTACGCAAACACGTACCACCATTTGCAGATGATACTCACTATTGACATAAGTGTTAAAATGTAGTGCTCCAAATTCCTCCCATGATGTTGCGCCATTTTGTTGTCGGCAGTGACCATGATCTCTACAAATCTTGGATATGACAAAAAGCGTTTTTGTCTTGAATGCTGCTGGGTGACATTGCCCAACTTGGACTCTTCAGTCTGAGGATGTGTCGGTCTAATCGCAGTCTGTAAGATATCGAGGTGCTCTCTAATACTGCTAGCTTTGTGCATCTTCACAAGTCTCTTCCTCCTTTGATGATATTGGTCTGAAATAGAGAAAGAAATACATAAAACTAAGAGACAATAAGGACTGCAAATACTGGAAGCCAGAGTCTATAGGGGAGGGTTTGGGAAAGCACAGCTGGTCAGACAACATCCAAAGGGCAGGAAAGTCAATGTTTCAGGCCGAAAACTTTTGTCAGGACTAAAACTAAGAGTGGGAGAGAGAGGAGCAGAGACAGTCTCAATCAATGGATGGGAATCAGAAAGCTTCCCGATCAGATCTGGAGTCAGGCAGGACTGTGCACCTCTCCTGCCTTGTTTGTGTGTTGTACAGAGCCTTTTGCTGAGTCCATCAGCAAGAATGTGAGCCTGAGGGGGGGGTGACTATTCCAGGCAGCAGAGGCTTGTAGATCAAAGCCTTCCCACACATAGATGACATTGCTGTTTTCTTCTTCAATCTGCTGTCAGTGCGCAGACTCATGAGCATCTGCAACCAGTTCAAACTGGCCTCGGGAACCATGGTAGATCAAGGCAAAAGTGAGGCCATGTTCTTTTGGAACTGGGCCAACTGATCCTTTAACCCCTTCACTGTCAGGACAGATTACCTGAAGGTGCTGGGAATATGGCTTGGAGGGTTCGGGGTGTGCGCAAAAAACTTGAGAGGAGCATATTGCCAAGGTGAGGTAGAAACTGGGCTTTTGGAAGCATTGCTTCCTTTCCATTGTGGGTAAAAACCTGATCATCAGATGTGAGGCGCTTTCCCTGTATTTGTATGTGGCACAGGTCTGGCCCATTCCCTTGCAGTCATTTGAGCCATCTTCTACGTTATCTGGAGTCTAAGACGGACCGCGTCCACAGGGATACTGTGTACAAAACTCTGATAAGGTAGAGGGGGAGGTGGGGAGGGGGTGGGATAGAACTACCAAGCGTCGCCCTCATCCTGATGGCCACCTGGCGGCTGCATCAAGTTGTGCGTAGACCCTTGGTACACAAACACAAACACAAAGTGCCACTTCATATTGAGGTTCTACCTATCCCTGGAGTTGTGAAACTTGGGACTGGCCTCGCTGCTGCGGAACGCTCCAAGTAGTTGGACTGTTCTGTATCACCTGTCCTTCATGGAGAAATCTGCAAAGGAAAACTTCTTTGATCACAAGTCCATCCAGAAGTGGTCAGCACATAGCATCCTTGAGACCGTGTGGGGAAAGGAGAGGATGGACGCTGTCATGTGGTTCCCTCAGCAGACTGTCAAAGTCATTTGGCAGAATGCCTCATCGCCAGAACCTTCCAAGAAGCACCAAGACATCGCTTAGCTGGTGGTGAGACGGGCACTACCCATGAGATCCTTTATGTATGCCTGGACCCTCTGTGCCACCACACGCTGCCCTCAAAGTGGCTGCAAGGGATGTAGAGACTATCACACATCCAGAATGTACCTTTGCAAAGAAGGTCTGGACAGAGATGCAGCAGTTTTTGTTGAGGTTCATCCCAAGCAGCTGTAACGCAGGACTCTATGCTCTACGATGTGTTCCCTGGGACTGAGACAAACATCAACTGTGCCTAGAGGACCATCAACTCAGTGAAAAACACCCTTTGGTCTACCCAAGAAAACTTGCTGGTCTTCTAGAGCAAGGAGTTGACCCTGATTGTTTCAGGCTGGCACATTCCAAGGTCCAGGACATGTGCTGAGGGATGCATCATAGCTTGGGGCAGCCGTCGCCAGGGCACAGTGGAGAAAGACCACCGTCTGAGGTCATTATGCTGAAGTTAAATGGGGGTCCGTTCAGTTATCGGGCCCTCCCGGTACCTCAAATATATGTAAGTGTGATCTTCTACAAGTAAGAAATGCCTTTGATTTGTTTGTTGGATTGTGTCAAACTCCAATGTTGTTTGTTTCTCCATATGCTACTGTACAGAACCGAACTGCTTTAGTGACTTTGTATATAAAGATAATTTTTTTGTTTCAAAACTATACTTTACTCATAAAAATAAGTAAAAGAGTAGGAGAATGGGAGAGGCAGACACCAGATAAAATAACGCAGGGAGAAGAGGAAACAGTCTATGTGTGAAATCACAGCAAAGTCTTAACTTGCTGGTCAGTCGCTGGGCACACAGAGGGGGCATACGTGAGAATACCAGGAGATAAAGACCAGAGACAGAGAGTGATGCTCAGTAAACCAAGAATGGTCCCTGTGTAAGAATAAAGAAGTGGTGAGAGACAGAAATGAGCAACGGCAGAACCCTTCCAACCTATCAGAGCTAAGGTGCGCTAGTGAAAAACAGGTCGGCGATTGGTGCGTATTATTTATGTATCTCTTGATGAGCCAAGGATTTTAATCAGGAGATGGTCTGACAACTAAAGATTACAATTAGGAAACCCACTTGTTTAAGATCCAAATTAATTAATTAAATCTAATAGAGAAGGCTGGATAGGTGATGGGTTGCAGCTGAAGTGTGTGGGAGCTGTTGGATGCTGGAATGATCCACCATGATCTACTACAATTGGTGGCTGCTCGAGGAACTTACCGCTCACGCTTGGACATAGAGCAGTTTTTCCGCCGCCTCCGCCTCCATGCTTACTTCATCAACCGTGAACCTAACCCTCCCTCTACTGACCCCTTCTCCCGCTTCCAACACACCCCCTCCTCCTGGACACCACCCCAAGGCCTCCTACCCTCCCTCGACCTCTTCATCTCCAACTGCCGTCGAGACATCAA